ATTTTTAAGAGTATAATAATGTGAATGACACTTCTGGATATATTTAAAAATGTGTTTAATTAGTGATGAGAATATTTTTATGAAAGGGGTATGATAAAAATTAAAACTTTAATTATCATGTCATGAGAATCAACATATATTTACCTCTTCTCTTAGAATAAAAATATAAAAAAAAAATATATATATATATATATATATATATATGTGTGTGTGTGTGTGTGTGTGTGTGTGTGAGATAATTTATCCATTAACTTCTATTCCAAGTTATTATTTTCAATAAATTATTTTAAATTAACTATTCTAAGGAATATAAAAGACTGTATATACACACTAATTTATTTCTGAGTTTATATCCGTAATCATTAATTAAAATAAAACATTATGAATCGGTTTAAATTTCACTACAAATTTATGTAGCAATAACAACATAATTAATTAGATTCACTAGTAACCAATAAAATATAATTTGTAGTGCACAAATACACAAAAATAAAAAATCTATATAATCAAAATGTTTGCCTTTTGCGTGAAGGCGTGCACATATACATATCTTTGCAAGTTAAAATTATGTTTTTAATAAAAATAAATTTAATCTATGTATTATGTATAAATTAATTTTAATTTTATAAAAAAATTGTTTATTTTTCTTTTTATTTTCTACTTTTATAAGTATTTACAGGGAGAAAAGGTCAGGCAGAATGCAAGCGCACATTCTTATTATTTTATTTAATTATTTTATTAATTTCTACAATTTCAAAAAAGTTATTATATAATTAAATACTACTATGCGTAAGGTAAGACCCAAATATCTAATCAAGATTAAAAAAATATCTAATCAAGATTAAAAAAAGTAATTAATCTAATTGATAATAATAAAATTATCATATATATATAAATTATTTTTATATATTTTTTTCTTAATTAATATTTATTTTTCTTATAACTAATTAGAGCGCATATTTGTGATAATTAACATTATTTTTTTAACTGTGAAAAAAAAAACATGTTTTAATTATACTCAAACATCTCGAACTTTCGGGATTAACCACAGTACTTGTACTACCAATGAACGTTGTGAACTTAAGCTAATAATTTAAATCTAAACAAGTAAATTGTGGGTGTAAAAAAACAAAAATAAGTAAATTGTGAAAGCATATAATTAGAAGCTATTCTATATTCAATCGCAAAAAGTAGGGTTTCCACGTTGAAACTTGATTTTTTTTTCTTTCCATTTATTCTTTTGAACTAGGGAATGCTGTGTAAAAGAAATTATGTGAAGAATCACAGAAAATTGGACATGATAATGTAAGATTCAGCAAAATAAATAAATAAATAAATATATCCTAGTAGTAAAGCTCACATAAAACGTAAGTTCATCTACAATTTGGCTAAATTTTAATGGCTCCAACATTTTCGATATGAATTTGAAGAGCAGTGCATGCAACTTAAGACATTTGAAACAATGAACTATGTAAAATTAAGCTTGATGATTAATAATAAAGTTATGTACATAGAAGAGTATTCAATCTTTTAATAGGGAGAAATTAATCTTTTAATTAAAATTGCTTGCATCGTGAAGAATTAGTTTCTTATTCTCGATCAAAGAATTAAAAAGAAAAGTAAAAATTACAATAATAAGTTAATAACTATAAAATGTATTCTCTGCAAATATTATCCGAAATACATTTTGACACAGTATATTAATTAAGAATTTAAATATAATAAAATTTTTACTATGCATTCGGATGATATTTCGGTTGTAATTTTCGAAGGATTTAACAACACTCTTTTATGTAATAACTCTCCATAATCTTGCATGCATGAAGAATTTGGACCATTGAAAAAGCCATTTGATAAGTCCATACAAACATACAACTTTGAATTTGGTCAGAATTGGGGGAAAAAACGGTGAGAATAACATCGAAAATGCTTGATCATGATCCTTTTTGAGCTATCTTTTTCAAATGAACCATACCCTTAATTTCATGCTGGAATCAAATCCAGCAGATAAAGCTACCGAATTTCCTCTTAGACGTGGCTTCCTGTCCTCATCCACATTACCTTCATTACTTGATTCACAAGTTGTTAGCACCTAGAGCATTAAAAGTTCAACTTTCACCAAAATTTGATGAATAAGGGGAAAAATTTTATTGGATGTGCACCTTATAAAAGAGAAAAACAGTGGGAATGATAGTATGATACTGTGGTCCGGAAACTTGTTTTTGTATCAGTTTTCAATTGGCCTATTATATAGTGACACCTTACATTGTATTACATGGTATTTTTTTTATAGCTTGAATATTTTTTTTCCTTGTAATATATTTACTTTTTAATTTTGGTCTTTAATTTTTTTTTTTTAGAAAAATAATTCCTGTAATATTCAAGTTTTTGACATTGGTTTGTCATTATTTAGTTGTTTTTGACAGTTGCTTCCACCTGAAATACAATGACACTAACTTTATACAATTTTTTTTTTAATTTAATCCATGTATATAACCCATTTTTATTTTAGCCTTTTTAACATATTCCTTCTTATCTCAAATGTAAGTAAAAAATAAAAAAGTAAACAAGTGTTGGTCTAAAATATAAGAAAATTTTAATTTATTTGATGTTATTATCTCCAAAAATATCTTTCAATTAATTAAAATTTTTGTTTTTAATAACTCTTTTATTAGATATCAATTCCAATGAATGGTTGTTCAAGAAAGAAAATAAGTATAATATAAACACTAAAAACCATATTTAAGATTTGGTGTAAAAAAAAAAAATCACATTTAAGAGTTAAGACAATGTTCGTGACAGTATATTCCATGGTATATTTCCCCTCTTGGTGACCACAATGTCAGTGTAGTCTGTGTCAAATATAGACACATTGAATAAAATGCAAACTGTGATTCTGCTCTGAACAGATTCTGTGTTGCTCACACTTTTTTATTTTTATCTAGACTGCAGGTAAGTCCAGGTTCAGTTTCAGACAGAGTCTTGAGCTGTGTAATGGTATCTTAAGGCTTAGCTGAAATCAACAACATTGTCCATTTGGCTTTTGGTTGCAACAAGAGAACATCACTATAAATATAACAGATTATAACATGTTGCCACATCAATTTAAAAGCCATTGAAGTATTTGAAAAGGGTTATATCAGGTGTCTCCTAGAGTTCCCCTTAACGCTTCATTGAGGACTCTGTTTAGCTCAATTTTGACTTGTCTTCACTGAAGTGTTTGGGGGAGCTCCTGGTGCCATTTGATGCTTCAAAAGATTACAAAACCTAAACTTCCACCATTTCTCACATGAAAAGAAAAATATTACTGATGTTTTTACACCCTTTTTTCTTACACATTTTCTCTTTATTCTTTCAATTTTTCTTTCTTTTTCTTATTATATCACCTCTCAATATTTTTCTCTTCCTTTCTTTCTCTTGTTGAATTGGGTCTGTACACTCCAAAATGTGTCAAACAATATTTTTCCTTAAAAAATAGACTCTACCGTGATAAGTGATCCTTAATTTTCTCTCTCAAGAATCTGGTGTGACTTTTTTATGCTAGAAACTGGTGTGTTTTATTCAATATATTCTGTCACCTTTTTTTTATGTCATTTAAAAGGTGTTTATATATATACACATAGAGGCACACGAACAATAATAATAATTAAGATGTCTCATGTTATTTTATTTTTGACAGAAGATCTCTCATTTGGTTAAAAATATATTTAATGTATTATAGGGGTCACCTTTATTATTTGGAGTTAAATTATGTTCATTTTTTTTTAATATACTCTCAGATTCTATCTGATCTTCGAGTTTGGGTTATTTATAGATATTTAGTTTCGTAATTCAAACTTTATATATCTAGTTCTAAAAATGTTATTAAAATATTCCTTGTTAGACTTGATTCTTGAGCAATACTTCTCTGAACTTAAATTTGGAGTTGAATTAAAAGTGGTAATAATAATAATAATTAAGCGAAATTAATCTCATCTCATAGCGCAATTTGCGCCCTTTGTTATTATTCCATTTTCTTTGTCAATTGACTTTGCTTCAACATTTTTGTGTTGACTACACTTTTTCTTGTTATTTCTCAAACTAGCTTTGTCTTGATTATTCTTTAGAAAAATGTCATGTGATACTGACAGTTTGAATTAGACTAACTTACGTTAGTATAATTTTTTATTTTAATATATATATGTAGACCTATAGTAATTAACAATAATAAGCATCATTTTAGTAATACAAGCCTGGAATTAGCTACAATAATATTTTGCTGTATCTGTTGCAGTTCAAAAGAATAGACCAACAATGGCCCAAGTTGTGTTTAACTAGGTGAAACTAAAGGTGGGAATGAATAGTTAGAGATTACAGTGTAGCATTTGAGTGACTTCAACATGGCTCCTACATAGTGCCCCATAAATTCATCAATAAGGATAGATGGAGGGAAAAGAAGGATGAGAAAAAGTACTCGCATTCTTCTAACCTTATATGTATGTTGTGTGTTTATTTCTTCAATAATTTATGTGTAACAAGTAACAACCTTTTTCCACTGGCTTCACATACTGTATTACTAATGACTGATTGATTGCCTATGATCGATCACAGTCCATGTAAAAACAACTGATGCAAACAGTTTCAATGTAACTCTTGGCTAGCAATGTGTCCATAACAGTTGTACAAATATCCCATTACTGTAATCAACCAACAAATGAATATGCAGAATACTGCTTTTGAGTTTGAACAATTTCTATAGCTTGTTGAAATAATGTGTAAATATTCAATTCAAATTGCATCTAGGCACATACCACATTACATCCAGAGAAGATCAACCAACCTGATAAAAATAAGGAACATATATACAAATGTTCAAAATTTAGTGTACACAAGCAGATTGTGGATGAGATTGCAATGGGAATGCAGTAGGAATAAGATTCAAAGGGGACCATTTCGCACAGTTGACTTTCTGGCAGGAGCATGGACTCTCTTGTGTTCTAATAATTGGGAGGTTCTCCCTGCAGTTTTTGAGACCTCAATCTTTTCAAGAGTTTCTAAAACCTCTGTCATTGGAGGCCTTGCCTTGGCTTCCCGATTAAGGCACTTTAGAGCAAGTGTAGCAGCCATGTATGCTCCTTTTTGTGGGTATTGGCCTCCCAACTTGGTGTCCATAATCCGAAATAGTCTTCTTTTGTCACCCAAATATGGTTTTGTCCACTCTACCAGATTCTGCTCTACACCAGCTTTGGTTCTGTCAACAGCACGTCTACCAGACAATAGTTCAAGCAAAACAACCCCAAAGCTATATACATCACTTTTAGCTGTCAAACGACCTGTTAATGAATTGGAGCTTTAGTATGATGGTTTGCATGTAATGAGACATGTGAAAGGAATTAGCTTCTAATCTATCCTAAGGAGAAGTAGATTAGAGCAAACACAATGATACTAAAATTTGAGGCACGTATTTGCTTGTTTTGACAAGAATATATGGAGATTATAAATCAAAAGAAGAATAATAATTAAGAAAATGCTAGCAACACAATCTCTAACAAACTTTTTTGAATACACCATTATTAGCTAAATTCATTAAAAATCAGTCAAAACACAAAATTTTATGCATTATACTTCTAATTTTATGATCTGCACTCATGATTTTGTAGTTTTTAATAAACTTTAACATGTCTTAGAAGGAGTGTATTAGAGTGAGTTTTGCCAGCATTCCTCTAATAGTTATCAACACTGACCCTGAGTACCTTTGTGACAAGCAATATGAGACCTTTATAGTTTACACTATGCAGAAGAAACTGAAGTACAAATCAGATCAATTCGTAGACTCTGATACAATGTTCAAATGGACATAAATGATTATGGAGCACTAACCATTTACTAGAAACAATGCAAAAGTAACAAAGCTAATGCATACATACCTGTTGCAACATATTCAGGTGCTGCATATCCTTGAGTACCCATGACTTCAGTAGAGACATGAGTTTTATCACCCGTAGGGCCAGCCTTTGCTAAGCCAAAATCAGATAGTTTAGCATTGAAATCCTGTAACCCAATGCATAATAACAAATTATTTTTCATGATATAGCAATAATGAAGAAATTATTACATCATTTTGAGCCTCATTGATCTTACTGCGTCCAGGAGGATATTAGATGCTTTAAAATCACGGTATATGACTTGTGATTTGGCATTATGAAGGAAACAGAGTCCTCTGGCAGCACCTATGGCCACTTTCATCCTCACTGCCCAAGAGAGAGGTTGTGGTCCTCCTGTCAAATATAATGAACCAATCAATCAAATGCAAACAACTGTAATGGAATAATATGTAGTTATCCTAAGTGCTTTAGTTATCAAATCATCCTCAAATATGATAATAACAAAGAAGATCACCAGTTATCTTTGTTGATATCTTTATTATTCTATGAGTTTCTTTGGTGACATAACCATTAAGAAAGTAGCTTAATAAACTAAAATCACCAGACAACAGGGTAATGGTTATGGTAACTTACTTCTAAACAAATGATTCTCTAAGCTCCCTTTGGACATAAATTCATATACCAACAACCGGTTCTCTCCCTCAACGCAGTATCCAATCAATTTAACCAGATTCTGATGGTGAAGTTGCCCAAGGTAGTCCACTTCAGTCTAGAAAATGATTAAAATTTCACTGATTAGACCATGAATAATATCCAAAAGAAAAAGAAACATTTACTTTCTTAGGAGCAGGGGCAGGGGTGTAGTGTAAAAGTATGCTCGAGCCACCTTAGGCTTGGAAATGGAAACCAAACACCTACCAACCACTCCTTATGACCTTGTAAGCCATCATGTTTAAGTTTTTTAACCGCAACGACCATTCCTGATCCTGGTTTTGAAGCTGTAAATGTGTGTTCATCAATCCACCCCTTGTAAACATAACCAAATCCTCCCTCACCAAGAAGACTGTCAGGGCGAAAGTTTCGGGTGGCATTCCTTAGCTCAGCGAAGGTAAAGGCCTTAAGATTTGGGGAAGACAAGATTTCACCCTCAGACCTTGGTGTGGGAAGATTTGAGGCATCACTTGCTTCACTGAATGACACAATAGATAAGTTGGAAGGAACAGATGAAGGACTAGTTTTTGAAATTCCTGATGCAGCCAGAAGGGGAAAACAAAACCGTTAGTCCAAATATGCTTCCATTTCACTAACAAACTTGACCAAATGCACTCATATGACCCATTTAGGCAGATCCTGACCAAATACTTTATTTATTCTAACAAAACTTGTCCTTATCACTTATCAGAAACGCTATGCTTTTGCCTCCTCTTCTCACATGTAAAAAAACAAAAAGAAAAGGGACAAAGCGTTGGTTTAATTCTAGTCCAAACTCGCACATCACATTGTATAAGTTTTAGACAGTTTAGGTTAACTACAAGTTCTTAGCTCCATTTGATGTAACACTAACACAATTTTTAAATTAAATTAAGCAGAAGATTGCAATGATGAACTGATATATATAAAAATCAATTACTAATTTTTTGGGGGCACATTGAACAAGAACAGCAATCACACTTTACTTCTTCAATAATAATAATGATACATTTCTAAAAAACTAGGGAATGTGAACAAGTTTAATAGTACCCAGGTGAGGAACAGCAGAAAAGAAGAAATACACTGAAAACTCAGAATCATTAAAGTGGGAGATCAGGATGATTATAATAAACACTAAACATCCATTCTCCAATCCTAACTCATTTAAGCTCATGGATTGAATCTTAGCAAGTAGCAATCCCAACAAACCAAGCTTGCAGCATCCAAAAAATAAAAGGAGTCAAGAAAGATTCAATTCATTCAAAAGGCCCTACTTGAAAACCCACCAAGAATTAACGATCTACAACACCATCAAACAAACCCACTGCTTCGAAAGCCATAGTGAAAAGAAGCAATACTTACAAATGGCAAGTATACAGTTCTATAGATGTTCTAATCAGAATTGAAATTTTATAATACCCATTTACATTTAATAAAATCTTTTATTACACATATTACCAAAGTAAAATTTCAATTCTAATAAAAAAATCAACACCTAATTTTACTGCATGGGGTATATGTTCATACTTTTATACAATGTCAAGGATCACAGCATGAACAGTACTGTTTAATGACAAGTGAAGAAATGCTGACAGAAAAGCAAAAAAAAAAAAAAAGAGAACCAGAAGGGGTCCTGGAAGTGTGAGCTGCTTCTACTTTAGCTGAAGAATCTAGGCAGTTACCCATCAACCCCTGCCAAAACTCTCGTCACACTAGGACACTTCTTATTGCTAAAAAGAAGAAGGAGAAGAAGAAAAAAGAAGTGATAGTTTTTAGTATTTTGTGATGGTTTAAATTTGCAAGGATATGCTTGAAGAAAAAGGAAAGAAATTTAAGTTGAGAAGAGAAAAAAGGGAACGGAAAGAGAGAAGAAAGTACGAGATATGAATGAATGAATGAATGACATCATAAGACATTGGGATTGAAGCCAAGTCTTGCTCAGAAAGACACGGGAAGCGCGTGGGCTCACACTGCCCTCTCATGACGGCTTCTTCACACCTGTATTTACCATCTTACCCCTCAATTTCTTATCTCTTTCACACAACTCACGTTAATTCCAACGGTATGTTCTCGCTGCCATGTCAAGTAACATGTTCCACCATTCAATTTTACTATTTTTTTTAATTTTTTTTTCTTTTTTGGAATGCATGATTTTACTCACATTCGAGTCATTGGTTAACCAAATCTCTTGATCCGGTTATAAAATCTGTCTTAAGATGCAAGAGTCGATTTCATATTTCTTATATTTGATTTTTATTTATGTTAAAATAGTATTTGAATTAGTTGTTAATCATTAGTTTTAGAACATTACATGAGTCGTGAAAAAAAAATTGTTTTACTTCCCCCATTAAAGATTTCAATCGATCATTCAAATGAATAATTTTTTTAATTAATAAGAAAAATATAATTTTAAGATAAAATTTTATTTTCAATTGTAATTGTATGTTTAAGATGAGATCGAATTTCAATAATCTTTAGCTAAGAGTATAAATATTGAATTATTTAACAATTTTTGATAAATGTGTAATATAATTTAATTTAATTAATTATTAAAATGATATACATGTAATAAGATAAATTAACATTATGTATTAAATTTGGTAAAATGATACCATAATTCTGTAAGTCTTTTATTAAAATGGAACCTTAAATTCACTATTGTTTAAATTAATTTTTAGTCATCTATGACTTAAAAAGATAATTAAATTTTAACAATCAAATTCTGAAATTTATTGGTATTATCATGATGATTATATGTATTAAATCTAAATATTTTTGTTCTCAATGTATTGTTGGATCATTCCATTCCTAAATTGTAAAAAAAAAAAAAAAAGATACTATAGAATTTTTTTTAGAAACTATCATGTAACTTTACACTATAATTAAAAATGATTCTTAAAATTTTTGATAAATACTAACTCTATTATTTTAATATTTTATAGAATTTCCTTTTTTTAGTTTTACATAATATAAATATATGTGTAGATATTTTTTTTTTTTAAATCAGTAACGACAATAACTCACAACAAATATATGTACTAATTAATATTCATTTACATTTTACATAAATATATGAATAGATATTTTTTATTTATTTATCAGACATAGACTGAAAATCAGTTGAGGGTTATTTTTGGTCAAACTAACAAATCCCATGTTTTCAACTTAAGGGCATGTGATAAATTAAAGCTTTAAATCAATGGAAGTCAAGAGAAACAAGACTCTAATTAGCTTGCAATGTAGAGAATTTATAATCTTCACTTGTCATACATTTCAATACTAAACAATATCTAATTATTTCCATGCTAATTCAAATTCTGAACTATTCATCCTTAGACATCCAAACTTCAACTTGGCTTTTGAAAATTCATTTGGAAAAACTCTTGTTACATTTTCCAACAAATAAATCAAAAAAAAAAATCGATTTTTCTTCATTTCATCAACTTTCCTCGAGATTTCACCAAATTTAAAGGTTTCTCTTTATTTCTATCTCAAATGACTCCGAACCTTCCAAAACTTCAGAAATTTTCCTAGTCAACCAACATGTGCGTATTTTAATAGAAATGTTAACTAATTTATAAATTATATTAAATTTCATAATCATTTTATAATATTTTTAATTTAATATTTACATTGACAAAATTTGCCTTAAGTAAAAAAATTATTTTACAAATTTCACTTTATACGACTGATTATTTGTGCGAGAACATTTTCATGAGACCTTTTATTAACAAGAATATTTTTTAAGTATTTTTTTTTATGATAAGATTTTTAGAAAATTTTTAATTTCTTATTTATTTACGTTTCTATTTACAAGTTAAAATTTAATATTTTTAAAGTAAAGTATTAATAATTAAAAATAATTTTGTCTCAAAATATAAATTATTGATTATAAATTTCAAATATAATTTACATATGATATTGATTTATATATAATTATTATAAGCTTTAATCTACAATATAGGTACTAAAATATTAGTTTAATATATATTGGACTTGGTGGTAAACCTTAATTAAGCTATGATGATTGATGACATATTATCATACGATAATGTAGGGCAAAATAGTCATGCACAAATTGAGTGGTTTGCAACCTAAGATAAAAAATTCAAGGAATAATTGTATTGTGCAAAAGGTCAAATAAAAGAACATAAAAAGGGTTGGACCAAAATGATCACATGAGTGCATTGGAAGGTAGCAACTTAGTGAACTAAGCAAAGACAAGTTGACCACGTATGCATGACAAGTAATTGGATAATCCCCTACCTTAGACCCTATCTAACTAACACTTATGTTATGCCACATAACATCCAAAATAGGATACCACATTTCATATCCAAAATTTGAAGCGTGTGACACAAGGCTTTTGAAAATCTTGGTAACTTCATTATTAACAGCTGGTACATTTCTTTTAAGTGTAAAATAACCATGTTTTTTTAAAGACAAAGGAACAACAATATTGAATTTAAAGACTTTCTACATGTTACATGAACCATTTGATTATGCTTAATATTTGAAATGGTTTGTATAATAATTAAAAATATAAAAATAGTTCTTTTCTTTGAATAATTAATTAATATTTTCAAAGGGCTTTAGCTCAATTATTAAATACTGTAGGTGAGTTGGTATAATTCTTCGGTAATGAATTTGATTCCTACGTGAAAAATAAAATTAATTAGTATTTATCTGATTTGATATAATTTTTTTAAAAAAAATATATGTCAGGAAACGTGAAAAAAATGTTATCACGTGAAAAAAAAAATGTGTACAGATTATCTCTTTCAAGAAGCAGAAATTCAAATATATTAATATCTTCTTCCTTCCTCCAAAAGTTTCAACTCTTTCCACCAAAATTACTCAAAGCATTTTTATATAAAAATGTTAATTATAAAAATAAAATAAAGTAATATAAAACTAAAAATATACCAAAATTAAAGAAAAATATTAATAAATAAACTGTTCCTAAATATAAATTAAAAAATGTATAAAAAAATATTAAAAAAATTAAAGAAAAAGAATCAATATATCAAATTAAATGAAAATAATTGGATTAAAATAACTTAGTAATTTCTAATAATTAATATATTTTTGTAATATTGTAAAATAAGTTGCTAATAAATATAAAATAAAAAACAAATGTATAGAATAAAATATCAAAAATGAAAGGGAGAAAGAATAATATATCAAAATTAATGCTACTAAATTGGATATATAAAAATAATTTCATAATTACTAATTATTATTATTATATTTTCATAAAATTCAATTGTTATACATTATAAAAACAATTATTTACGTAAAATAAAAATTATGTAAGAAGTTATCATATTATACATGAAAAAACAATACACAAATTTTTTCTTATATTACTATGATTTGGTTAACACCATCATAAATATTTTAATATAAATAAAATAAACTGTTACTGAAAATAATTAAAAACAAACAAATCAATCGAATTAAAAGGGAAAAATAGAAAAATATATTTTAATAATTACTAATTATTATTAAATTTCTACAAAATTCAATTTGTAATAACCCGTCATGACCGTCTTACTTCACAACACAATAATAACTGCACATATAAATATATACCGAAGACAGTAATGTAAAATAACTAACATCATCTCCTGAATATATATATATATATACAACGATGTTGCTTAACTAGTAACTACCTACAAGTATCTACACAAAACGTTTACCCATAATTGAGAGACTACAAAGTAACATCCAACTCCGAGCACACCAGTTGCTCTACTGCTCATCTCCAGCCTATCCATGCTCTGCTCTCATACATAATATGATCATTGCAGTCAAAACCACATGGAAACATGCAAGGGTAAGCTAGTGAAAAGAATCAACATATATTTTAAATAAGCAACTTTCCACACAACAACACTATCCTCATTCTCAATAGGGTCAACATACAACACATGGCAACACACAACTCAATCACAGCTTCACAACACAACAACATATATACAACTCATATCAACACCAATCCAAACTCATTAACAACTTATGCGTTGTCACGCATTACAACTCGAAGATCTACTGTAACATGGGTGAGCAGTCTAAGTGGCTAGGTCCTACCGAATCGACAACACAAAACCTTTTTGGGCTTGCTAGATAAACAAAAAATTTGGATAAAAATTCACAACACGATAACGGTTTCTCATACTTTGCCACTTAAAAAATGAAGTATAGTACTATGTCAGGATAGGACAGTTGGGTTTAGGTCTACCATGGCATTAGCTAGCTCAACTAAGCCACCTATGGGATTAGCCTAGTGACTATCCTCCAAATACTACAACCCTTCGATACTCAGTTAGGAACTAAGTTCCCAACTTCATACTTTACTCGAATTGGCCGCTTGTAATCGGTATAGCTCGACTTGACCCCTATACCGTGGTCACTTTATACACGTGTGCCTCGACCTTGCCTACACACGAGATCAACTAAGTCCTAGAGGAGAACAACACAACATCCACTCCAAAGGACAACTTCCTGAGGAGGGTTTTTCAACAAATTGGGCTCTTAGATCACCACAATTATCTCAATTCACACAATGGGATGAGAAACTTCGAAACATCTCCCATAGTCATAGTGATCAACAACTCATCAACACAACTTAATCAACACACAACTCAACAATACAGTTCAGCTCCACAACTCAAAATAACAACATAACAACTCATTATATTTTCAGCACAACAACTCAATCAACACACAACTTTTTAACTCATATCATCTTTACTCAGCTACTCAACTTCACAATTAGTTTACAACACTATGCTCAACATGCATCTCAACATCTCACAACGCAATCATCACTATTTATATTTGACTTTCTACTCATTATACATCTCAATGTAACTATACAATCCCACA